TTTTTTTTTTTTTTTTTTTTAATACCCAAGTATTTTAAGATTCTCTGGCACCACCACGTGGAAAAACCACGAATTACTATTTCAAAAACTTTGCTGTAGGCCAACATAATCAAGATCAACGTGATGGGAAAAAAGCACAACTGATGAACATTCTAGGGAAAATAAAACTTAGATTCAATTTGTACATTCAGCTACGACCATGCAAAGCTGAGGTATGTGGTAAGTTGTCCAGAGAAAACACTGTTGGCCCAGGTGATGCTTATCTGCCCACACCCCTTTAGGAGGAAACAAAGTGGGTCGTAAGCACCTATCTTCTTAAATTTAATCAAAGGTCATTCACGTTCTTAGTAGGTCTTGAATTTAGAACAAAAACCAGGTAAGGCTTAAAGAAGTATAAAGCTAAAGGCATGCCCCTTCCCCCCCCAGATGTTTTAAACGAAGAACTACTCGTACATACTTAAGAACGTACCTAGTACACACGTCCCAGGGGCGCCTGGGGGCCCAGTCTATGGAGCGTCCGACTCTCGACTCCGGCTCAGGTACTGAGCTCACGGTGGAGGCGGTTTGAGCCCCACGTCGGGCTCCGTGCTGGCCTGCCTGGAATTCTCTCTCCCTCTCTCTGCCCCTCCCCTGTTAGTGTGCACCCTCCCTCCCGGCTGCAGGGAAGGAGCACGGCGCTCCGGCAGCACCCACGCGCCTTCCCCGCTCTTCGTAGTTTCCACGAGCGCAGGACTCGGCGCACACAGACCTTCTTTCCATCTCATCGTGTTCAAGGTGCCACATGTGTAGCATCACACACATCAGAATGAATGAACAGGAAAATGAGATCTCAAAACAGTGTGCCTTGCTTCTGAGAGAGGGAACTGCAGGCAACCTCCTTCAAGGTCAGAAATCTCACCAGCTTCTTCTCGGAGAGCGGTTTCTTTCCGGGGGGCTCCTGGTGCTTGGAGAGGTCCGCACAGCTGGCCGAGAGCAGCCTGGGGGGAGCGTGCCACGGGAGCTGGCCGGGTGCGACCCGAGTCCAGCGCCCCACGCCCCCAAACACGGTCCGCGGTCCTACTGAGAGAAGCCTCGAAGGCACCATGGCTCCTTAACAAAAATCAAATTGGCAAAATCAGACGCCTGGTTTAAACCTGCAAACCGAGGGGCGCCCGGGTGGCTCAGTCGGTTAAGCATCCGACTCTTGATTTCGGTCATGATCTCATAGTTGTGGGATGGAGCCCCAAGTCGGGTTCTGAGCGGACAGAGCGGAGCCTGCTTGGGACTCTCTCTCTCAAAATAAATAAACTTAAAAAAAAAAAAAAAAACAAAAACCCACAACCCTGCAAACTGAAACTAAAGAAAAGGCCTGTGCACAGCAGTTATCTCCACATGTGGTTTTGAAACACGTAAACAAACTCGCTAACAGGACTGTCTTCCATCACCACTGTCAGCTCCGAGCCAGGAAGGGTCACCTGCCCTTCTCAGCCTCTGTCTTACTTGGAGCAAGATGTGTGTACAAAGGATTTAAATTGTTAAACCTCCCGCAGCACTGGATGCACTCCTCTACAGGTTATCAAATATCTGCTCGGTGAGAACATTAAGAAGAAAACCTGAGCCTCAAATAAAAAGTTCTTAAAACACCCAGGGGTGGCTCAGTCAGTTGGTTTCAGCTCAGGTCACGGTGTCACGGTTTGTGGGATCGAGCCCTACGTCAGCACGGGGTCTGCTTGGGATTCTATCTTCCTGCCCCTTCCCCACTTGTGTGTGCACCCTCTCAAAATAAATATTAAAAAATATAATAAAACACTCAATTACTCAAATATTAGTGGGTTATCCTGTGCAGTTCAAAAATAGCCAAACTGGACCAGTGAGAATACGGGCTATGGAGCGTGGTGGTTATGCCCCCAGACTGGAAGCAAATGTCCCCTCTGCCCCTTGTCCCCAGTGTGGACCCGGAAGCACTCTTCCCTGTGCGGCCTCACTCTGTGCATCTGTCAGTGGGACGGGGCTGGCAGGACAGGCCAAGTTAATCCCCGTGAACAGGCTGCCCACGTGCATGCTCAGTGTGAGCCACCTGTCCATAACTGGGGGCTGCTCACACCCTTACCAGTGCCCACACATCCGTAGGTGCCAAGGCCACATGTGAGGCTGCCTGGGACCTGGCCCTCTAGGGGTGACAGCCCCTTCTCCCTTTGCTGTGAGGGCCTGATACCCACCCACTCTCAGATGTCCCTGATGCGTGGGCACGTGTGTGCCACGTAAAAGAAAACTCAGAAAGCTTTCCTCCCGTTTCTAAGTATGAAATATATACGCAAATAGGAAAAGAAATGTACACGTAATGTTTAAAATATAATTAGAGGGGCACCTGGGGGGCTCAGTCGGTTAAGCATCCGACTTCGGCTCAGGTCATGATCTCACAGCTCGTGGGTTCTAGCCCCGCGTCGGGCTGTGCTGACAGCTCAGAGCCTGGAGCCTGCTTGGGATCCTGTGTCTTCCTCTCTCTCTGCCCCTCCCCTGTTCACGGTCTCAAAACTAAATAAATATTAAAAAAAAAAAAAAAA